CACACATCCGAAGCACACGGACAGAAAGCGGCTGTCACGCGGCATGTGAGTACTAAACTAAGTTCTCACACGAGTTGAAACACAGTCGGTTATGTCTGTGAAGGTAAACTGCTGGGAAATAAATTGCAGGTTTATTTTAAATCTGTGTGGCAGCAGCAATATACAGTAAATAAATTAATAAATCCACTGCTCTCTTGTCTCCTCTGAGGCTGGGACTCTAAATAGTGTTCTGTGCTCGTCTGTGCAGCCAAAGACAGAACAGTTAGCATGTTTTGCTCAAACTTTCGCCATGGCATTAGAGCTGGTACACCGCTGTCGCTTGTGAACTCAAAATGATGGCTCCTTGGGTGGAAACGTACAGATTAAGTGGCACTAATATTATAATGAGATCCCTTTGCCACGTCACCAAGGGAGCGAAATCAGCCTATATTATATATATAATGTAAAATAACTTCAGAGACGTTAACTACATGAAAAGTAACAATGTAAAATGTATTAAAATAATTTCAATTCATGCGCCATATTTAAATCCGCTGCGAGACCGTCAAACTGCCAAATCGTTTTATTGCGTTTTACATAATACACTTGTGCACTGCATTGAGAGCTGAAGCGTGCAGAGACAACGGGCAGAGAAATGTTACGGATGGGTTTACTCCATCTGCGTTCACTGAAACTAATGTTATGGCAGTTTATGCAATTGTTTCCTGCAGCGTTAATGACAGATCATGTCAGGTAAAAGGGAAGCAAAACATTCTGCAGATGATATTTAATGTTGTGTCCACTAACAGCTTCAGGTTTAACGCACTTTCGTGTTCTCAGGCCATTTCAGGTTTATTTTCATGCACCGCTTACTGTGCCTAAAATAAGACTACTCAGAAATTCACAGTCTTTAAATACATATAAATTGTGCTTTCATCGATGGAAAATGTCTGTGTACTTATAGTAGTACTTGTAACAGTATAAAAAGAACACGAAGTAACCGCAGTTCTGCACAGTGTGTGTCTGCTAGTGTTGGGTCGTTCTTGAACGATTAACACTCTTAAAGTGTAATTGTAATGTCAGCAAAATACATTTGAAATTTATGCTGAGTGAATTCTGCATTTCAAAACTTATATACAAGAAGGGATATTTAAAGTGTACTTAAATGGTTAGTTCACCCAAAAATGAAAATTAGACTGCGTTTTAATCCATAAAAAAAAGTGTCTCACACGGCTCCGGGGGGTGAACAAAGTCCTCCTGTACCGAATCGATGTGTTTTTGTAAGAAAAATATCCATATTCAAAACGTTATAATCACTTGAATCTAGCTTGCGCTCACTGTTGTAAACATAGGCAGTTCCGGCACAACTAAAATGCATTTAGTACAAAATTAGTTGTTCCAATTTAACAGACTTTAAGTAGGTATACCAATTTATAGTGTTCCACAAATACATTTAGTTATACTAAAGTACATATGAATGAATTGTGCTTAAGTATACTATTTTTTTTCACCAGGGGAGAGAGACTGGGTGTCATCATCTCTGTGTTATTTTGCAATTTCACTGAGGATTATCGTGACCATTTAAAAAAAAAAATCACACAACCCTCCTCCCATTGGCTTCAAGCTGGTGAAAATACTTCTTTATAGGAGGGAAAGTTTAACACAATGGCACTAAAACAGTAATTTGCTTTTGATTCTATAGAGAGTAGAGCCCAGCTGACTGGACAAAAATTTGTGTAGCACAGGATAAATCAGTATTTCTGTGAATTTCTAATAAGGGAACAAGTTAGTTTTAAAAGCAGATAACAGCTAAAACTGATAATCTCACTGGGTCTTCAAAGCAAATGAATGTTGTAGTTATTGTCGTCAGTACCACAAAATTGTCCGGGGAATTGACGTTGTACCTCTTGATCTAAATATCTATATCTTTTGATTTTTGCCTACATGATTGGTGTTTTATTATCTGTAGGATGTTTTAAAATACTCATCTTCAAGAGGTAGATTAAGACATTTTGGCTTTTCTGTGAGAAACCAATTTTAAAATTAGCTTGAGTTATCATTGTGCATTTACTACATTTATATTCTATTGTTGAATTGATTCTGTAGTTTGGTCTCTGACTTCCTACAATCTCTGCATTTGGGATGTAAGGTGCTGCACACATTGCTGTAAAACAAACATCCATCATGCTAGTTAGAATTCATCAGAGCACATATAGATAATAATTTGATTGAAAATGAAATAAAATAAAAAATATCACAACATTCAATGGAATTAAGAGGCAACCACTGTAACACACCAGTGCAGGTCTGTATGTCTGTCCATTGGCGTTGGGAATCACATTGAATTCGTACAGGCTGCTCAGGTTCAAATCCAGTACTACATTCATATTCTATTGTTGAATTGATTCTGTAGTTTGGTCTCTGACTTCCTACAATCTCTGCATTTGGGATGTAAGGTGCTGCACACATTGCTATAAAACAAACATCCATCATAATAGTTAGAATTCATCAGAGCACAGATATATAATAATTTGATTTAAAATAAAATAAAATAATTAAATTAATCAATTAATTCATTAATATCACAACATTCAATGGAATTAAGAGGCAAAATGTTGAACCACTGTAACACACCAGTGCAGGTCTGTATGTCTGTCCATTGGCGTTGGGAATCACATGTGATTTGTACAGGCTGCTCTGGTTCAAATCCAGTACTACATTTATATTCTATTCTTGAATTGATTCTGTAGGTTGATCTCTGTTTTCCCACAATCTCTGCATTTGGGATGCAAGGTGGTGCACACATTTTTTCTGTAAAACAAACATCCATCATACTAGTTAGAATTCATCAGAGCACAGATATATAATAATTTGATTGGAAATAAAAAATAAAAATAACATTAAAGGGGTCATATGATGCTTTTTTAAAGATCATTATTTTGTGTATTTGGTGTAACAGAATATGTTGACATGCTTTAATGTTCAAAAAACACATTATTTTTCAAATACTGTACATTATTGTAGGTCCTCTATGCCCCGCCTCTCTCAAACGCTTCGTTTTCTACAAAGCCCCCTCCTTTGACAAGCGCAGTCCGCTCTGATTGGCCAGCTGACCCAGTGGCTGCTTCAACACTAACTGCGGTTACTGAAACCACGCTTTCTTTCTTTGAAGTCATTTGGGCGCATTATGCAAATATTTCCACATAGTGACCTAGATATGTGGGGGCGTGTTAGAACGAGCCGTTTTAGGGGGGCGTGGCAGAGTCTTAACTTTGATAAAGAATATCTCTTTGGTTTTGAGACTTTAGTCTTTGCAACTTCAGGGATCTTATCTATGCACAATCAGCTTGTAACACTCCAAAGAGAAAGGAAAACTTGAAATCGCATCATATGACCCCTTTAATTAATTAATTAAACAACCAATCAATCAATCAATCAATCAATCAATTAATTAATTTCACAACATTCAATGAAATTAAGAGGCAAAATGTTGATCCACTGTAACACACCAGTGCAGTTCTTTTTGCCTGTCCACTGGCCCCGGGAATCACAGGTGATTTTTACAGGCTCCTCTGGTTCAAATTCAGGACTACATTTATATTCTATACTTGAATTGATTCTGTAGTTTGATCTCTGTTTTCCCACAATCTCTGCATTTGGGATGTTAGGTGCTTCACACATTATTTCTGTAAAACAAACATCCATCAAACTAGTTAGAATTCATCAGTGCACAGAATATATAATAATTTGATTGAAAATAAAATAAAATAATATAAAACAAAATAATACAATAAATAAACAAACAAATAAATAATTTAATTAATTAATTAATTAATATCACAACATTCAATGGAATTAGGAGACAAAATGTTGATCTACTTTACCATACCAGTGCATTGCCGTATGTCTGTCCATTGGCGTTGGGAATCACAGGTAATTCGTACAGGCTGCACTGGTTTAAATCCAGTACTACATTTATATTCTATTGTTGAATTGATTCTGTAGTTTGGTCTCTGACCTCCCACAATCTCTGCATTTGGGATGTTAGGTGCTTCACACTTTTTTTCTGTAAAACAAACATCCATTATACTAGTTAGAATTCATCAGAGCACAGATATATAATAATTTGATTGGAAGTAAAATAAATAAATTAATTAATAACACAACATTCAATGGAAATTAGAGACAAAATGTTGATCCACTGTATCATACCAGTGCATTTCTTTATGTTTGTCCATTGGCCCCGGTAATCACAGGTAATTCCTTCAGGCTGCTCTGGTTCAAATCCAGGACTACATTTATATTCTATTCTTGAATTGATTATGTAGTTTGATTTCTGACCTACCACAATCTCTGCATTTGGGATGTTAGGTGCTTCACACATTATTTCTATAAAACAAACATCTGATTAGAATTCATATTATATGAAGAATCATTTGCACAAATTGTAACATTTAATGGCTGAACACACCAGCACACAGTGGTTTTGGTGTCCATCCATCTCGTGTACATGTGGCCTCTTTTGCTGTTCCACGATATCCAGACCTGCAACTGTAAGATATTTTTGCTCCCAGTTTCATATCTCCCCTGAAGTAATTGTATGGTCTAGACAAATACCAGTCACGTGGAGCTTCACATCTAATCTCTGAAACAAGATTAACATGGTTTTAATAACAGGTAATGAGTTCTTCACCAAATCCAGAAGTGTTTCTCTGTCATCTTGCCTTGACAAACAGTCCTCCTATCGTCCCATTCTCCATTATATTGGCATTTAAATGTTTTGCTGGTTTCTTTTGTAAAAGAGAACCAGTAATCTTTAGAGCAGGTGATCTCCACACTTTGTCCAGCTCTGAAAATAGTTTTCCCCTCTGGGTTGATCTTTTCTACTCCATATGTGGTTGACTGAAGCTCACAAGTTACTTCTGTTTAAGACATAATTATGCAGAACTAATGGTAAGAAGAGATGAAGCATGGAAAACATTGAAACTATTATTGTAAATGCTTTGTCTTAAGCAGGAGACAAATCGATCAAAAAATAAATAAAATACCTTGCAATGAATGCAGTACAGTTTTTTGTCCCAGTACAGTATTAGAGGCATATATTCTGTTTAGAGCGCTGTCAGATATACAGTATTTGCTAAACTGATATCTGAAAATTTAGCTAGCATGACAATTAGCTAGTTTCAAATGTCTGTATCCCCCTCCCTTTAAGTTATTTTTCTTCCTTGACAATCCAAATCATAAAACAATCAGAGTACTTTGATCTAATAATTTGAACTGATAATCACAAAGTAGTTATTAGCTAATTTTGGAGTTACCAAATAATAATAATAATAAAGCTTAGCTGTGTCACACTTTGCATGTGAATTCTAATGCCTCATTTTCCTCCATTAAGACAAAAAATTCTCTACCATTAAAATCTCCAACATCAATTGGACACTTCCTACAGAACGATAAGACGACAAGTAAATAATCTATTTCCATTTTCATTTTCTCAAGTTATCTATAAATATGGTGTTGACTGACTCCACCTTGAAGTTAAAAATACAAATTAAAGTAAGATTAAACAAATATATTTATCTTAACTTAGGCCTAATTTGTAGTTTTGTTTTTGAATTTTCAAATTTAGATGCAAGTTTAATGGAAGTTTAATCTATTTTTTAGTTTCAGTTACTGTGACCCCTTTTTGGTCACTTTGTGAAAGATTAATAGAATTATTTGAGTATAATTTCCTATCCGAATTATGCAACAGTGGTGGATTACCATCACATTCTGGGTTCAGAGTCCAGCCAAATTTAGCACATCTGGGGTTTCCCTCTCTGGGCTTGAACCCTGGATTGCATCTGTATTTTAATATGGCATCTTTCTGGTATTCTGGCATTTGCTCAACAACATATCCATTTGATATGACAGGTGCTGTGCATGTTATATCTGTATGAAAAGTGAGAGAAACAAGAATAATTCAACTGGTGCTTTAAATAAAGCACAGAAATCTGAAATCATTGATACCGATAAACAGAAAAATAAACAATAGACTGAACCTTTGCATGTTGGAACAACGTCACTCCATTCTCCCGTCTCTTCACAGTGAATGTCACTACTTCCGTCGATCTTTTTGCCAGAAGATACACACTCAAAGTGAATAACATTGCCATAACTTCCCTCCTCTGTGTTGCCTGATGCAGTTACATCCCGGTCTGTATGAATAGCTGGACATTTTACAGCTAGACAATATATGAATATGAAAATAAATAAATAAACCAACAAACCATTCACATAAAAATCAATCAATCAATATAATTCTCTTCTAGCTTACGAGTCACTCTTCTATGACAGAAAGAAATTAAATGAGAATAAATAAAAAGGAAAAACAGTGACTTTCATGGAATCGTACCCTCACAGACAGGAACAGTATTGTCCCATCCTTGAGCTCTGCACGTACGCTGATTGATTCTGCTTGCCATTTCATATCTGTGAACACAATGTTTTTACAAGTACAGGAGTTTCAAACTGATGACGATAGTATACATTTCCTACAATAAAAAAGAGAATAAAAAAGCCTAAAGCACTTTTACCCTTTCTTACAAGTATACACCAATGTTGCTCCAAAAACGAACTCCGTCCCCTCTGCAAGTTTAAAATCACCATTTGGTATGTCGCCTGGATTACTACATTTCTTCTCTGCAGAAATCAAACAAGTTTTACTTTCCATGATAACAGTGATTTAATAACCCAAACAATTATGCGGCCATTGTATTGATAATTCTCTTACTTGCACATGACCGCTCAATGGATTTCTTCCATTCTCCTTTTTCACACTTTAATCTATACAAGCCGGTATAACCGGTCATGCAGTTCACTTTCACTGCTTCACCATCAGCGTATGAAGCTTTCGCAGCTAGCTCTGTGTTTTCATAATTAATGTCCTCTCGATGACATTCTGAGAAGAACAAACACAAAGACGTAACTGTTTGTATATTAAATGCTGAAGTAAATGCACAACTATTCAACACTCTCTAAAGCTACATAAGGTCAGATAAATGTTTTGGGAACTGCATATAATATAACATTTACATTAAAGTCAGTACAATCTAAATAAAAAAGACATTTAAATAAATAACAACAACAACAACAAATCACTTGCCTTGACATTGGGAACAATTTAAGAAAAACAACCAAAAGCTGTAGATGAGGAGTTTTACAGGGACTCTCATTTTGAGCTCAGTTCACAAGTACTGTACCTTTTTTTTTTGGTCTGCCTCTGAAACTCTTGCCTGCTTGGGGATCAACAAGTTAATCATTTACCTGTGTCAAAAAGACGACTTTCTTACACCAGACCTCTCTGTGCACAAGCAATATATCCTGTTAAAAATAAATCATTAAATAATAAATAAATTGTATCTGATGCAGCAACCCATGTTTGTCCTTTGGACACACCAACAAATAACCTTAGAGAAGTCAAACTTCTTGAGTCAAATGTATGTAACATACCGTATGAACAGGAAGCAAAAAGGGCAGGTTTCAAAATAATTGCCATGTATACAGCTTAATCCTGTTAGATGTTTTTAACTGGTTTAATGTACTTTATGTGATTGATTCAAGAAGAGCATTATGTAATGAATGAATCTGTCCCATTAGAAATGAGTGAGACGAGAGAACACTTTCAAGCCTTCAAACTTGCAATAGTACAAGCATGGCAAAATATCTGTAACTGCCATTATATTGTGAAATGTGTTTATTAGAATTGAGCAATCTTTTGAACTGATAAACAAAAGACAGCAGACAGATGATTTGAGAGTTTGACACCTATTTGTCTTTGCTTAAATTGTTGTCTCCTAGATCAGTGTTTCCCAACCGGGGTGCCGTCTGTCGAGAGCAGGGGTGCCGTGTAAAAAAATCTTTTTTTTATATTTTTAAATTTCTAAAATGTTCAAAAAAGCAGCTATTATATAATATAAATTTCTGATCTCGGCAATAATTAGAGATGCACTGAAATTTCGGCTGCCAAAAATCAGTTCACCGCTCAGGATTCACTTTCACGTGGTGTGACGCTCTGCGTATTATCCCGCTCTATGCGTGTGCGCTCCGCTCAGTCGCTCCAGCGGCCCATGTGAGTGCTCCAC